GCCATTGTGAAAACTTGAGTGAAACAGAAGATGGTGATTCATGGTGTAGGGTGAGGCTGGTCTGCTGAGAGAGAAATGAGTGGAACACCGGATAGTGGGAGAACACGTAGTAGGTAGGTGGATGAGGGAGCAGATGACTGGCTTCCGTACCACCTACTGAAGGCAGGCGGTAAGGAGCGGAGGGTAGAATGGGTTGGGTTCAGTGTCACAAGCAATCGACATCGACGGAGGGATGCTTGAAGATGAATGAACGAACTTACCGAGGCCGTCGTGGCGAGCAGTTCGGCTTGATGCTGCTCTCGAATGGAGGAGAAGGCAGAACAGCTAAGTCGATGCGCAAGATGACACATGATTCTGGAGTCGCCAGTAACCACAAGCGAACGAGGACGCCGCCTAGCATTGCAGTTTATGCCGCCAGCACCGCCGCCACCACTGAGGAATACCAATTTGTGAATGGTGTACCAAGGAGGGGCAATGTGAGGTTGGAAGTGACTGGGAGGCAGAAGGAAGCATTTCGCATCACTGGGTGGCAATCGTGCCAACGGTGACAATAAGGCGTTGCGCCGCAGAAGAGATTGTCGGAGGTTTGGCATTCCCGACAGTACCACGCTGACCACACCACATGCTATCGTCAGCACGTATGCCCAACCAACCTCGCATCGACCTGAACGCAGCACACACCACCCACTAATAGTGTAACATGACAGCATTAGATCAACTAAATGCCACCCAAATACCTCCTCTTTATATTCACACCCTCCAGCTACTTACTGGCCATAAGTAGACTGCTCCCGAACGCTCATACCAATTCAACTCAGTTACGACCGCACTATCAGCACCTGAGTCCAACAATGGTTGACGCGACGTTGGATGAAGTGAAAGGAGACATACCTAATTTGTAACTCCACTTCCTTGACCGCAAATCTCTGAGTTGTTGGACCAACCGAGAGGGTAGGCAATGCAGACGACAATACAAAGGGCACCTAAAAGTAGAAGAAAAGATTGGATACTTGGTTGGTTGGTTTGCTCACACAAACGCTCCTCTAGTTAGCCATCAACTCCTGTCCTAGGAAGTTTTCTTTCAAAGTATGCATCAGAGACTCACACCCTGCATGTAGCCATTATTGCTCACCTTCGTTGGGGCACTTTTCCTATACCCACGTTACTTTGCTCCAGTTCGTGTCGCTATTTGGAATGAGTTCATTGCGCCGCACTTGAGATTATTTTGGCTTTGACTTACCTTGGGTGTTTATTATTCTGGGCCCTAAGTCACAACATCAACAGTAGGTTTGGCGCAGACACAGAGGCTAAAATTTAATGTGAGGTCAGTGGCTACACCCACGCTTTGATTTAACCAATGACTGTGCACACGCTGCCGATCAAAGATATTCTAAATCGGCGTCTAACGTTGAATGAAATGTCTGCCCGTTTTGGAAGACTCGAAAGTTCCCTGTGTTGTGCCAAGACATGTAGTCACAACGATGGTGAGCTGAAAAGCACTTATGTAAAACCATTGGCTTAGCAACCAGATAGTTTTGCCAGACAATCCGCCATTTGCTTGAGTCATAAGCAAACTGCAATCGAGAGTGTGGAATGGAGAGATCATAGCTGAGGTGGTGGCAACTTGGGTTGAGGACGGTTGCAGAAGAGTTGAGGGTACACCCTCCCCTTGGACGGACTGGACATTGAATGAATCTTCCCCGACTACACAGTAGAGCTTCCCATGCAAGGGATGGGCGAAGCAAACAAACATCAAGTCGCTCGCCTAAACCCAGAGCGAGGCAACTACGGTATATTGGATTGGAAGCGACAATAGAAAAAATGAGCGGAACTGTGGGAGTTAGCAGAAGGAGAAGAGAAGGAGGCAGGAAAACTTCACTTATACGATGGCTAGGAGACGTGATCCCTGGCTGCGTAAATCGCATGTAGGTGATGTGACCTAATGTCGTAATCAGAACAATCGGCGCATTCGTCTTTTGGTGGTTGAGGTGTGCATCTAGCACGTTCAGTTGACACGTACGGTGGTTCGTGTTGGCACTCTTGAGGGCACTAAGCATGTAAGGCAGCTGCTGTTGGGACATAAAAGTGAAACGAGTGAGGCAGAAGAACGTCGACAAGAGGTGAGGTATCTCGCCTCAACGGTGGTTGTAAAAAGGGCAATCCACAGAATGTCCCATTTTAAAAGGCCTCCAACCGAAAATTTCACTAAAAGAAGGAAGCAGATGGTAAGCCGCATTGTGGGACTCGAATGCGATATGAGGCAAAGGCGACAACCAAGATGAAAGGATATGAGTTTGCATTTCCATTTTCATGGTTTGCATGGGATGAGAAGCCGAGCTCCAATTGCTCAGAGTCATAACGAATCACCCACAACACGAAGGTGTTCTCCAAACGAATAAGGTCAACTGGCACAACGTTGATTGTCAACGCTTATATCCCAAAAGGCAGACCAGCATCGCGGTGAGAACTAGAGAAGCAGAATGAGAAAAGTGTTCGCATGTTCCCAATCCACGGGATGAGGTGCACTTGGTTGGCCTCCAAGGCACGAGAAGTACGTCTCCCAGCATCCCCATCCAACAACTCCTTCAAAGGTGAGCCTCGTGGCTATGAGGCAAGAC